TCACTTGGTAGCCCAGGCTGGCCTCGAACTCACAGAGATCCACCTGGCTCTGCCTCCCGAGTGCTGGGATTAAAGGCGTGCGCCACCACCGCCCGGCTAAAGCTAGGTGTTAACACTCTGGAGTTAAACCAGGTGTAGCTCTGCGGGAATTCTCCCAACACTCCTCAGACATCAACAATGCATAAGGGGGCCCAGTCTCTGTGTTTTGGATTTGTTCATCTGTAGACAGCTCAGACCACCTTGTGAACTATTCTGTAGCTGTTACCCCTCTGACTGAAACGCCTTTGGCCTGATGGAAGAAGGAGAACCGGGAAGCTGCGGACTCCAATGCCCTCCTCAGCCTCAGGGAACTGCTGCTGGGGATACAAGGGGAAAGGAAACTCCTCCATGGACTTGGATTCTGCCCCCACTCCAGCTGCATGACCACACATGTGCAGTTCAGGAGCTAAGCAAGGGGTCTTGTGCCTTACGTCATCAGTGTGCGCTGGTGATTACGTGCGCGTGGTGTGGTCACGCCATCTGAGCATGCACGGCGTAGCTCTGTAAGCCCATCTGCTCCTTAAAAAGCCGGACACAAACCCCCCTCCTCCCCTCTCTGTTCTCTCTTCCCCCCACTATCTTTCTGTCTCTCTCTCTGCTCTCTGCATGGGCTTCTCCCCAGGCCTGGTTCTTTTGTCCCTCGCCCCCCTCCTAATAAAGTTCTGAGACTGGGTTTTGTCGTGGCTCTTCATGCTTCGTGACCTTTCTGCATGGCAACCAACACCCCTTATCATCTTTATTACCTGGCTGCAAACTGGCACAGGGGACCTCCTGGATGCAGCTGTCATGAGTCTTCCAGGAACATGGGACCCCAATAAAGTCACTGCTCCCCTAAGCTGGACTGGGATGGAGTCATTTCAGGGTCTCAGTGACCTTCTGTACATGGGGTGACTAGATTCAGACTGAAGGTTATTACTAGGGTGTTAGTGCCAGAGCTGCTGGCTGTTGGGGGATGGGCAAGCAGGGACTGCCCCTGGCTGCCACCAGTTTGGTCCCCTCTGACACCTCCCCTAAGGACTTCTTGTCACAGAGCTCCCCTCTGAATTTACTGATAGTCTGTGGCCCTGGCACGTCTGCCCCTTGGTTGCAGAATTTAAGCCTGGGTACTGGTAACCACCTTCCCCTAGCAGGAGGTCACTGTGGTGCTATGGTAACATGTAAGTCAGCCCAGGGAGAAGTACAGCCTGGCTGAGTTCATTGAGATTGTGTGTGTGTGTGTGTGTGTGTGTGTGTGTGTGTGTGTGTGTGTCCGCTTGAGATAGATAGAGAGCAAGGACATGTCAGTGTCCCTGTGTGACCAATTTTCCCACTGTTTTCTGAGATAGGGTCTCTGTAAGCCGTCTGACCTACTCTTTGGGGACCCGCCCAGCGGCCTGATGTCATCTTAGGTAAAGTCCCCTTTAAGAGAAAACTCCTCTCTCTCTCTCTCTCTCTCTCTCTCTCTCTCTCTCTCTCTCTCTCCATGAGGCATGCACATCCATTCTCTATCCCCTTCCCTTCCTTTTCTCCCTCTTCCCCCTCTAATACTAAAACTTGTCACTTGATTGCTTCTTGCCCCTACCTGCCTTGACGGCCACCTGCTGTGTCTGCATGGCCTGTCTCTTTCTCTTCCACAGAGGGACACCTTGGCTCACACCTGCCAAGGCTGCTGGGAGCCCTTTCAGAACATTCTCCTTAGCACCCACCTGTGAGGCCGGATTGGTGGGCCAACAAGCTGCAGGCTCCTGCTGTGTGTTTCTCTCCAGAGCATGGATGACAGGTGTGTGCCCCACACAGTGTTTCACAGGGGTGCTGCATCTGAACTCAGGTCCTCATGATGTGACAACTGCTCCATCTGCCCCCACCTCAGATGGACACTGACCTGGAGTTACACTTGTCCCCTGAGATGGACACGGACCTGGAATTACACTTGTCCCCTCAGATGGACACTGACCTGGAATTACACTTGTCCCCTCAGATGGACACTGACCTGGAATTACACTTGTCCCCTCAGATGGACACTGACCTGGAATTACACTTGTCCCCACAGGCTTGGCCCAGTCTCGCCCCTCTTCCTCCTCATATTTCCTCTGTCTAAATCATGCTTTTCTGCAAAGTGCTGCCGCAGGTGTGGTCAGGGCTGCCCAGCACAGCTGTGGCTTTCCTCAGGGTCTCCCCTGTGTGTGTTCTGGAGCAGGGGATGGCTGTGTGTGGAAAGGCAGGGCTGGGTGTTCCACATTGGCTCAGTGACTCCTGTGAACTCGGGGGTCTGTGTTTCTCTTCCCGTTGATGGCACAATTTGTCTGCCAGAGGTGACTTCAGGAGGGAAGAAAGGGTCCATTTGACTCACAATTGAGGATACAACAGAGAAAGCGTGGGAACAGGAGTGTGAGGTGGCTTGTCATACTCCATCTGCAGTCAGGGGCAGAGGGAGATGGATGCTGGGGCTCAGCTTGTCTTCTTTGATTTTCAGTGTGTGTGGGGAGGGTCAGGCTGTATTGGTAGAATCCTGATCCCAGGGAACAGAGGGTGCGGGGCCAGGCTCTATCCTGGAGTCTGAGTGTGGAATTTATGAGCACTGGGTTGTGCAGATGAGTGGATTTTTGAGAAATTGGGGAAGGACAGGCTTGGGGTATCCAGGGATGTGGAAGGGTTTCTAGGCCCACGCAGAGGTCCCAGGCGACAATGGTGGAGAAGGTGGAGAATTCTCAGTGGGGATTCCAGCCTTCCAGGGCGCCCATGAGCCTTTTCCGTGTGAGCCACAGTGAGCCATCCCGATGTGGAGCACTGGAGCTTTGGCTGGTGTTGGGGAACTTCCCTTTATCATTTTTTTTTTAATTTTTTTTATTTTGAGACAGGGTTTCTCTGTAGCTTGGGAGCCTGCCCTGGACTATCTCCATAGACCAGGCTGGCCTTGAACTCACAAAGATCCACCTGCCTCTGCCTCCCGAGTGCTGGGATTACAGGCATGCGCCACCACCGCCGCCCGGCCATTTTTTTTTTCTCTTTCTCTCTTCACACTATGGAATCCCGAGCTGTCCTGGAAGGTGTGACCATCCTGGGGCTGTAATGACTGGTGTCACCTGTCACGCTTAGTTTTAGTTCTTAAGACAGGATGATATGCTCAGGCTGGTCTTGAACTGGTTATCTCTGGGGATGCATTTGAACCTTCATTCCCCTGTGCCATCGCCTCCCTCTCCAGAGGCCTCTCTCATGGCTGAGTCATGAGCTCAGGAGGAGGTCAGGCTGGGATAGATGGAGGAGTGGAGCAGGACTGTGTCCGTGATGTCAGGAGCCAGTGGCCTGTGGTGAGGGATGGAAAAGGCCGAGGAGGACTCAGTATGTAGGTGAGGATGCCTGTGATGCTGGGTAGGTCAGGAAGGGCAGGACCTGGAGTCCTGGAGAAGCCACAGATTGTCAGCACGGACCCAAAGGCTCAAGGCCCCCATGTTGTAGAGAAGCCATTAGGAGAACAGAGAGCCGAGCATGGAGCCAGGGTCTCTGTGCACCCCCTAATGTGGGTGATGCCACGGGGGCCTTTGAGGGAGGGTAAAAGTGGAATACACGCTGACCAGAACCAGACCCTAAAAATCTCATGCATGATACTCCAGGAAGATGGCTTCCCATTTGACAGACCCTTGGCCGGTCAAAGTTCAGCTTTAATACACAGCTGAGTCTCTATAATGTGTTCTTGCGGCCCTCAAGATCAACTCATCATGGTTGAACCACTTCTCCAGTTAAAAAAGAGAAAAGTGCCAGGCGGTGGTAGCGCACATGTTTGATCCTAGCACTCAAGAGATAGAGGCAGGCGGATCTCTGTGAGTTCGAGGACAGCCTGGTCTACAAAGTGAGTTCCAGAATGGTCGGGGCTACACAGAGAAACCCAGTCTCAAAAAACAAAGCAAAAAAAGAATGGGAAAGTTCTGGGCCTGGTGGTATACACTTGTGTGTCCAGCACTGGGGAGGTGGAGGCAGGAGGATTGTGAGTTCAAGGTTGCATTTCACACCCCTTTTCTAAAAGGTGAGGGAAAGTTAAGAAGGACAGAAAACCCTACAGGGAGAATCTTGTCCTATCTGGGAACCTCTGTGCTGGACCTTCAGGTTCATTCCCTTGGCCTGAGGGGGTTTTCCTGGTTTCTCAATATTAGATGGAAACTCTTGGTCATGATTGAGGCTTTAAGGTGATTTCACTGGGTCTGGACTCAGAATTCCATAGATCCAGGGTTGAGGGTATAGCTTAGAGGACCTGAGTTTAATTCTCAGATCCCACATAAAAAAGTTGGATATGGTGGTATTTGCTGATGACCCCAATGCAGTGAAGTGGAGACATGGGGCATTTCTAGGCTCACTAGCTAGCTAGCTAGTTGCCTAACTGGTGAGCTCCAGACCCATGAGATCCCCAACATGCAAGTGCACACATATGTATACATGCACACAGGAACAGGCACACATGTTTACAAGCATGCTCAGGTTCACACACATACATTAAAAAAAAGAAAAAGAAAGAAAGAAGAAATGCAGGGATCTGGTCAGGGCAGGTGCCAGGGGTGAAGATCTTCCCTCTGCTCCACCCTCTGCCAGAGCCTCACAGAAGCTCAATCTGTTTCACCAGATAGATCCCTGTGTCAACTGCTGTGCTCACGCGTGCTAGCCTGGGACATCTGACTCTACTGAGATAGTCGTTGGTGGCAGCGGCATCCCTTTCTTGCTCTGTGCCACTCTGCCTCACAGAGAGGCTTGCTTTACACACTTTAAAAGTCCATCCTCAGCTCTTGGAACCCTGCATCTCTAGAACCGGACCCCTCACTCTTCCTGGTCCTGCTGCCAGCAGACTCTGAACCATGGTCCGCATGGAGCAAGAGGCCATCAGCTTCTCCTTGGCTACACTGGGCTGGCTGTGCGCCATTGTGAGCTGTATCCTCCCCTTTTGGAAGGTGACACTTCCCGATGATGAGACAAACCCAGATGACAGCATTTGTGAGGGCCTGTGGCACATGTGCCAGGTGGATAAAAGCAACCGGATACAATGCACCTTGTATGGCATCCGGCCCGCAGTAACTCAGGACCTCAGTGTGGCTCGAGTCTCCATGGTCATCTGCATCATTGGAACATGGCTAGGTTTGCTGCTGTGCATGATTGGGGATGAACGCATCAGGTGTGTGAAGAGCAGGGGCATTGTACTCAAGATCATGAGGGCAGTCAGTGTGATATTCCTCGATGTTGGCTTTCTGGTGCTGATATCCACGTCCTGGGTGTCCTACAATGTCAGCCGTGGCTTCTCCAACCCACTGCTGGGTTCCACGAAGAAAACAGAGATGGGTGCCTCACTCCGCTTAGCCTGGGCCAGCTCACTGCTGCTGTTGCTGGGAGGCACTCTGCTGTGTTTTGACTGCCCATCACTCGATGACCTCTCTAGACTCACCGTGGACTGTGCTAGCAGCCTTCAGGAGACAACGGAGATGCATCGGGTAAGTCTCTCTCTACCTTTTGAGCTGTTTATTTTTAGACTGACCTCAGACCATCTTACGACCCTGTTCTGCAGGTGTTTCATTCCAAAAGTGAGCAGGAGGCCCAGTGAACTTGCAAGACTCAAGATGCCCTCTTCCCAGGTTCTAGAATCAGTGAACTATTTCTAGGGGCAGAAAAGACACTTGGATGGAGCTGCCCACAAGCTGTGAGGGGACTCCAGGGACGCAGCTGGATGAGTTGTCACCATGCTGAGGTGGGCTTCTTGGTGATGAAGCTGCCTGAGTCACCTATGAACCTATAAGAGACCCCAATAAAAGTCATTGTCCCCCTCCCCCAAGCTGGACTTGGATGGAGTTGTTTCTTTGGTCTGTGGTTGCTCTCTCAATTTGGACTGACTGGAAACAGACCAAAAGGGAAACAGAATGGTGAAACCAGGGTTTTCTGGCTGTTGGGGGATGGGTGAGAAGAGACTGATCCAGCCTGGTGCCATCCTGGTCCACTGGGACACCTTCCTAAGGGTCCTGTCACCAGGCTCAACTCTGAAAGTACTGATAGCCTGCCACCCTGGCACCTCCGACACTCCCTTGAAGAAGATAAGCTCGGATGTTGATAACCACCTGCTCCTGGCTGGCAAGTCACTGGGGTACCATTATGTCAGCCCACTGGAGACTCCAGCCTGGCTCCATACATTGTGTGTGTTCTGTTCTACATGTATGTGTGTTTGTCCCCATGTGTGAAGGAGAGAAAATATGTGTGGAGGGCATATGTGGATGTCAGATGTCTTTGTCCATCACTTTTCTGCCTGCTCTTTGAGAGAGTCACTCACTGAACCTAGAACTCATGGAATCTTCTAGACTTGACGTCCCTCCTTCAAACTCCAGGGATCCTCTTGTCTGTGTTCCCCAGTGCTAGGATTACAGGTGTGTACCTCCACAGGCTTTCTTTGACGTGGGTGTTGGGCTCTGAACTCAGGTCCTCATGCTCACATACATGTGGCCATACATGTTAGCCACTGAGTCCCTCAGATGGGCTTTGGCCCAGTGCCCCCATTCCTCATAAAAGCTGCTGGCTGAGGAGCTGGTCCAAGCAGGACTGAGAAGCACCCTTTCTCCAGAGGTTCTGAGCTGTGTGGTGAGGAAGGACTGTGTGTGGAAGGGTAGGGGCGGCTGTTCCTCCTGTGGCTTGGTCTCCTGTGAACCCATGTGTCTCTGTCATTCTTCTCACGGCTGGGACAAAAATGACTCAAGGAAGGGAAGGTTCTCCGTGGCTCACAGGTCGCAAGAGCCCACAGCCCATCATGATGGGAAGTCATGGCAGCAGGAGTATGAGGCAGCTGGTCCCATGGCACCCACAGTCAGGAAGCAGAAGGGGATGGATGCTGGTGCTCAGCTCCCTTTCTCCTTTTCATTCAGTCTGAGGCCTCAGAGCCTGAAACGGTGCCTCCCACAGTTAGGGACGGCCTTCTCACATCGGTTAACTCTGGAGAACTCTTTCTCAGAGGTGCTGGGAGTTTTCTTTCCACCATGGCGATTCCAAATCCCAGCAAGTTGACAAGGTTAACCCTCACCCGGGTATGTCCCTGCAGGGGACCTGGCTGTCTCTGAGGGCACCTCACCAAGAGCATTTCGTGGAACAACCCTGTGTCGGGTGGAGATGGCGGAGATGCAGATCCTTTACATATTTTGGCATCAGATGCCCATAGAGGTGAGAGGTGTGAACTTTCCCATTTTACAACCAGCAGGGATGAAGGAGAGAGCATGGACGAGGCCTGAGCCAGCCCCCAAGTATCTCAAGGCGGTGACCAAAAAAGACAGTTCCTGTAATCCCCCCTGAAACATGTCCAGACTTACCCAAGCATGTGCAAAGATGAGAAAAACTAGAACCCCAGCCAATGAAAAATGTGCTAACGTAACTGCGGCCTGCTTCACCAGTTATGTTTGAGATGACCTAGCTGTTCCTGGAATTCCCCTAGCGGAAAAGGAGCCCGCGAGCTCCCCCCACGGCCGCCATTTTGTACAAATGGTTGACTCCACATGCTGGCTGTTTCTGCAGAATAAACACTCTTTGTTTTTCATACTATTCGAGTCTGGGGTCTTCTTCAGCGTTTCCCGGACCCTCACAGAGGCCAATAGCACACGATGGACCGAGGATAATTTGTATCTAAGGACTGCCTCTCCAGCACCTTGGGCAGCAAGTCTAGCCTAATTGGTCAGCGCAGGTCCTATGAGAGACCCAGACTCAAAAGAGGTAGACAGCATCCCTGAGGATCCCACCGCGGATGGTCCTCTGGTATCCACATGCATATGGACACAAATATGAACTCGTAGGCACACTCATTTACATGCACACACATGTGTACATGAACATGCACACACACATGCACACACATTTAAAAAGAAGAAATATATGGATCTGATAAGAGGCCAGGGACTGAAGCCCCTCCCTCTGCCCCCTCCTCAGCCAGAGCCTCACAGACACGGAATCGGTTTCACCAGATCCGTGTGTTGACTGCTGTGGTCACACTTGCTGGCTTGGCTATCAGACTTGCCAGATACACCCATTGGTGTTGGTGGAATCTCAGAGCCATTTTGACCTCACAGGGAAGGCTTCCTCAGTATCTGCTCTTAGAGCCCTGCAGCTCAGAGCTGGATCCCCCCAGTTTCCCTGTCCTGCTTTGCTATTGGCTGTTCAGTTCTTTATTAGACCATCAGGTGTTTTACACAGGCACAGTAACACAGCTTCACAGAGTTAAACAAATGCAACATAAACAAAAGTAACACACCTTAAAGTAATATTCCTTAACAATGGGGCCTTACTCTACCCAGGCTGGACCAGGTCAGCGCCCCTGCCTCTTGGAAGGGCCCTGTTCTGCAGCAAATGTCCACCTTGCAGCAGCTTCTCCAGTCTTCTTGAGGACTCTGTGAACAACCCTGCCCCAGACAGCAAGGCATGAGGTGGGCTGCTGTGCTGGCTGGTCTTACGTCAACTTGACACACAAACTAGAGTTTTCTGAAAGAAGGAAACTTCAGTTGAGAAAATGTCTCCATAAGATCTGGCTATAGGGATGGGGGAGAGCCCAGCTCCTTGTGGGTGGGGCCATCCCCAGGTGGGTAGCCCTGGGTGCTATAAGAAAGCAAGCTGAGCAAGACACGGGGAGCAAGCCAGTAAGCAGCACCCCTCCATGGCCTCTGCATCAGGTCCTGTTTCTGGTTTCTGCCCTGCTTGAGTTCCTGTCCTGACTTCCTTGATGATGAACAGTGATGTGGAAGTGTAAGCTGAATAAACGCTCTCTTCTCAGTGTTGTTTCCTTGCAGCAATAGAAACCCTGATTTAAGACAGGTCACTTCCTACCTTCTGAGTTTGCTCATCCGTAAGCTGAGCTCACACCCCCAATGAGCCTATTCTGTAGCTGTTCCCTTAGGACAGAAACATTCTCAGGGAGGGTGGGGGAGACTTGGGAAACCTAGGAGACTCACGAGGCCCCACCCCAGGTTCTAGAGGTGGTAAACTTTTGTGGATGTGGAGGTAGGGAGGGAGGAGACCCTTCTAGGGAGCTTGCAAGTTGTGTAGAAAGCTCCAGGGATACAGATCTCTCGTGATACAGTTCGTGATACAGTGATGCAGCTGTTCGAGACACAGATGACTTGATAACTGTCCCCAAAACCGTGTTTCTTCAAGCTGGACTCAGATTGATTCATTCCACTGTTTTCTATTGGGAGTGATTAGGACGAAAAGGAACTAATGGATGCTAAAGCTGGATGCTAATGCTGGATGCTAATGCCAGGACCAATGGCCGTTGGGGGATGGGCCAGTTGGGCCAGAACCAGGTCAGTACCATCTTAGCCCACTCACATACCTCCCTAAGGCTTCTTTGGCACAAATGAATAGATCCTAAAGAGACACTTTAGCTATCAGAGTATTAAAATAACAAGTCCTAATGGATTAGAATAGTCCCAAGAGTCTCATGCCGGGAGAAGAAAAGTCTGGGCCCCCAGTGTGAGGGCCAATGAGATGGCTTAGCAGGTAAAGGTACTTGCCACCAAGCCTCACCATCTGAGTTCAAACCCTAGGAACTACTTGTTGGAAGGGGAGAAATGTCTCTCTTGGGTTATCTTCCCGCCTTACATGCGTCCTGTAGCGTGAGTACCCCCGGCCCCATAAATGAATAAGTATAATTTAAAAAATAAACTTGATTGTGAAATTCCCTTTTTAAATGTTTACAGTTCATTTATTTTATTTTATTGTTTTTTTTTCCCCCGAGACAGGGTTTCTCTCTGTAGTTTTGGTGCCTGTCCTGGGATCTTGCTCTGCAGACCAGGCTGGCCTCGAACTCACAGAGATCCACCTGGCTCTGCCTCCCAAGTGCTGGAACTAAAGGCATGGGCCACCACCGCCCAGCGCCAGTTCATTTATTTTTACGTGTGTCGTGTGCAGGCCATAGGGATCAGTTCTCTCCTTCCACCAAATGTGCCCTGGGGATTGAACTCAGGACATCAGGGGTGGTGGCAGGCTCCCCTGGCTCACTGAGCCATCTGACCAGCCAAAAGTGTGGCAAAGGCTGGCTTAGAATTTGTGATCTTCCTGCTTCTGCCTCTTTAGCATATTGTGCCTGCTCACCGCTCGGTGCCTCGTTGAAATTTCTTTTCTGCTGTACAGCCAAGGATCTGGCTACGTGAATAGAGATCCCCAGAAGATTAAAGGAACTCACCTGGCTGCTGCCGGCCACAGTGCGGAGCCATGCTTCTGCACCTGCCACACTGGACACACAGGTTTATTCTTTAGCCCAGGTGCAGGTTCCCAGGCTCTGTGGCTCCAGGCCGCGTGTAGACCTCTTTCAAACCCTGTTTTAGGGTTTCTAGTGATGTGATCCAACACCATGACCAAAAGCAAAAAAAGGGAAAGGAGTTTATTTCAGTTATTACATGTTGTAATCCATCATCCATGGAAGTCAGGGCAGGAACTCAAGGCAGGAGCTGATGCAGAGGCCATGGAGAAATGCTCGCTTATCGTTTGCTCTCCACAGCTTGCCGGGCCTGCTTTCCTATAGCACTCAGGACGGCCAGTCCAGGGACGGCACCACACACAGTGAGCAGGGCCCCTCCACGTCAGTCATCAGTCACGAAAATGCCCCCACAGGTTTGCCCACAGGCTGATCTAGTATGAACATTTTCTTAATTGAGGTTCCCTCTTCCCAAACGACCCTAGCTTGTGTCAAATGGACCTCAAACTGGCCAGCGTGAACTCTGAGTGAATTGCATGTTGAACAGTCTGATTTGGGGGTCCAGAATCAGTTCTAGAAGAAGCTGGGAGGTAACAGAGTTGAACTGCCATTAACAGAACTGGGCAGTCATTTGGACAGGGCTCTTCCAGAGCAGATTAGGGAGGGGTCAGTGAAGAGAGGGAATCATGATGCAGAAAGGTTGTGGCATCGTGGGTGTTCCCCTTCCCCTGTGTTGAGTCTTCCTCTTGCCTGCTTCCTAATCAGTTCCCCCTGGGCTGGGCCCTTCTCTCCTCCCCCCACTTGCTTTCCAGTTCATCTCCTAGGCGATCTCATGTTGCCCAGGCTTGACTCACTGTGTAGTCAAGGTTGACTTTGAACTTCTGATCCTTCTGTCTCTATCCCTGAAGTGTGTGCAGGGATTACAGGCATGTGCCCCTACATGGTTTATACAGGGCTGAGAACCAGACCCAGGGTTTCTTATGTGCTAGGCAATATTACTCTATCAACTGAGACAGCCATATTCCCAGCCTTAATTTTAATCTAAGCTATCTAGCTATATCCATCTATCATGTATCATCTATCTGTATCATCTCTCTATCTCTCTATCTCTCTATCTATCCATCCATTGTAGCTGGAAGTTTTCCTATCCCACCCGGTCCCGCAGCCACTTGGACCCAAATAAACACACAGATGCTTACTATTAATTACAAGCTCTTTGGCTTATGATTCAAGCTTCTTGCTAGCTAGCTCTTATAACTTAAAATTAACCCATTTCTAATAATCCGTTGCCATGTGGCCATGGCATTACCGGTTTGCTGCCGTCTTGCTCCTTGGGTGGTGGGCTGGCATCTCCTCCTGCTCTCCTTTCTTCTCTCACTATGTCTCTTGGATTTTCCTACCTGGCTCCATCCTGCCCTGCCATAGGCCAAGGCAGCTTTATTTATTAGCCAGTGGGAGCAACACATATTCACAGCATACAGAAAGACATCCTATAGCAATCCATGCATCCATCCATTCATTCATCCATCCATCTATCATAT